AAGTTGTGCCTGACCCAAGCCATGGTATTTTCAATTGCCTCATATGCATGCGAAAGCTGGACAATGAATAAGGAAGATGAAGAATAATTGATGCCTTTGAATTAAAGTATTGGCAAAGAATATTGAATATACCATGGATTGCCAGAAAAACATACAAATCCGTCTTGGATTCTTCAGAATCAAAGAATGCTCCTTAGAAGCAAGGATGGCAAGACTTTGTCTCATGTACTTTGGACATGTTATCAGGAGGGACCAGTCCCTGGAGAAGGACATCATGCTTGGTGAAGTAGAGGGTCAGTGAAAAAGAAGAAGACCCTCAATGAGATAGGCTGATGTCTTATTTATCTAGCACTCCTATAACTGAAATACCACCAGTGGATGGCTTTACCAAACAGAAATTATTTCCTCACAATAAAGTAGGCTAGAAGCCCAAATTTAGGGTGTCAGCTCCAGGGGAAGGCTTTCTCTCTCTGTAGGCTCTGGAGGAAGATCCTTCTTATCAATCTTCCCCTGGCCTAGGAGCTTCTCCGTGCAGGAACCCCCAGTCCAAAGGACACACTCTGCTCCCAGCACTGCTTTCTTAGTCGTATGGGGTCCCTGTCTTTCTGTTCACTTCTCTCTTTTATATCCCAAAATAAACAGCTCAAGACACAATCCAATCCCACAGATTGAGTCCTGCCTGGTCAACACAACTGCCGTCCATCCCCCCTCATTAACATCATAGAGGCAGGATTTACAACTCATAGGAAAATCACATCAGATGACAAAATGGTGGACAATCACACAATACCAGGAATCATGGCCCAGCCAAATTGATACACACATTTTTGGGGGACACAGTGGCTGCAACAATGGGCTCAAGCATAGCAACAATTGTGAGGATGGTGCAGGACCGGGCAGTGTTTTTTGTTCTGTTGTACTTAGTGTCACTATGAGTCGGAAGTGACTTGACGGCACCTAACAACATTGGTTAGGAAAGCACTACCCATTCCTATTGCCATCGAGTTGATTCTGACTCCTAGCAACCCTACAGGACAGAGTAGAACTGCCCCATAGGTTCCCAGGCTATAATCTTTACAAAGCAGACTGCCACATCTTTCACCCCCAGAGTGGCTGGTAGGTTCGAACTTCCAGTCTTTCAGTTAGCAGCCGAGTTCTTAACCACTGCCACCAGGGCTCCTTAGGAAAGCATTAGCTACTATAAAAGATAAACCACCCTTCCACCCAATTATGTTTTTAGTGGTGTAACAAAATACAAAGTATTTATTGATCAAGTGAAGTCCAAAATGCATTTTCCTGATGAGCAGGTAACTCTCTGCCAAAAGGTGATTCAGGGAATCAGGTTCCTTCCATCCTGTGGCTCCGTCTTTAACATGTGGCTTTCAAGGTCACTGGGCTCAAGGTCATCTGCATTAGGGCCAGAAAGGAAAGAACATAAAGGAGGTTTTGTGGGCCAGGCCTGGAAGTGGAACCACATCACTTGAAGAGAAACTGAAAAACATGGTCCAGCTGTGTGTCCATGAAAAAGACGGAAACCAGTACTGACAAAGACATAGCAGGCTCTGTCTCATCTCGCACTCAAAATTCTCTACACTCTGTTTTAAACTTACCTTTCAAACTTTTATCTTCCATTATTCAGCTATGACTCGTGCATAGTATATTAGTCAGCTTTGCTGCAGTAACAACCAAACCCAAAATCTCAGTGGCTTACAACAACAAAGGTTTCTGACTTATGTATATGTAGGCTGTGGGTAGGCTGCAGCTCTGCTCCGTGAGTTTTCTCATTCCAAGAAGAAGGAGCAATCCCTATGAGGAACATGCCCAATCTAGTGGCAGAAGAGGATGAATAAGAAAGTGGAAACTCACAAGCTCAAACATGGCATGAGTCACATCTACTCACATTCCATTGGCTAAAACATGAAATATGATCAAGCCTAAATTCAATGAAACAAGACATGTACTCCTTCTACAGAGCCCTGGTGGCACAGTGGCTTAAGAGCTCGGCTGCTAACCAAAAGGTCGTGCAGTTTGAATACACTAGCCGCTCCTTGGAAACCCTATGGGGCCGTTCTACTTCATCCCGTAGGAATTGACTCAACAGCAACAGGTTTGGTTTTGGTTTACTCCTTCTACAGAAGATACTGCAAGTCACATGAGAACAGGCAGGGAAGGAGAGAGTAAATAATTTCAAACATTAAGTCAGTCTACTGTGTCTTAGTTTTCTAGTACTTATGTACCAGAAATACCACAAGTGGATGGCTTTAACAAAGTGAAATTTATTCTCTCACAGTCTAGTAGGCTACAAGTCTGAATTCAGGCTGCCAGCTCCAGGGGAAGGCTTTCTCTCTCTGTAGGCTCTGGAGGAAGGTCCTTGTCATCAATCTTCCCTTAGTCTAGGAGCTTCTCCACACAGGAACCCCAGCTCCAAAGGACACGCTTTGCTCCCGGTCCTGCTTTCTTGGTAGTATGAGGTCCCCATGTCTCTCTGCTTACTTCTCTCTTTTATATCTCAAAACAGACTATCTTAAGACACAATCTAATCTTGTAGATTGAGTCTTGCCTCATTAACATAATTGCCACTAATCCATCTCATTAACATCATAGAGACAGGATTTACAACACAAAGGAAAATCACATCAGATGACAAAATGGTGAACAATCACACAATACTGGGAATCCTGGCCTAGCCAAATTATACACGTATTTTTTGGGGGGACACAATTCAATCCATGACATGTTGCAACTGCCCTCTTCCATCTGGAGTATATGGCAGACATTATTAATTAATCACAGCACTCTTTCCTTAGAATCCTTCTCAACACAATACTTCAGACAGTCATTATCAATATTGAGTTTGGGGAAAAAAAAAAAAGTTGAACTTGATTTGCTGTTCTTCTGTGACTCCCAGGCTCCATTACACATTTACACCTTTATATCTTTGCTTCAGCCTGGAATAAGTTCACCCTTCCCAGTTCCTGTCCTGCCAGATCATCCAAATCTAATCCATCCTTCAAATATCCATATTTTATATTCATTCGTTCAACAAAACTTATTGAGTACATAGCATAGTATCTAACACATATTTGTTGACTGAATATTTCATATCACCTTGTGTTTTGCTCACAAATGCTCAGTGAACCTCTGTAGCCTGATTAGCAGCACTCTTCCTTCGAACAATGGTAGTATCACATGCTAGCAGTTGCTGGAGTGGGAGTATGATGTACTGGCTACTTGTGTTTGAATCCTGATTCTTACTAGCTGGATGACCACACACAAGTCACTTAACTGTCTGTGCCTCAATTTCATCCTATGTTAAATGGGGATAATAATTTTAAAAAAAACAAACCAAACTTGTTGCCATCAAGTCAACTCCAATGCACAGTGACCCTCTAGGACAAAGGGTTTCCAAGGCTGTAATCTTTACAGAAGCAGACTGCCACATCTTTCTCCCTGGAGCGGTTGGTGGGTTCGAACCGCTAATCTTTTGGTTAGCAATCACTTAACCACTGCACCACCAGGGCTCCAGGGATAATAATATGGCTGTTGTATTAAATATAAAAAGCTCTTAGCATGGTTAACACATTTTAAGCACTCAATACAAGAAAATTATTATTATTTTTACCTCCAGATGAAACTGAGTTTTCTTACATGCCTTTACTCTGGGTAGAAGTCAAAAACCGAGAACACCTGAGACTTGGGTGGGCCCCACTCTTAACCCACTCCAGGACCTTGAGCCATCTCCTTATCCAGTAGCTTGTTCCCTAACTCATAAATCCTGACTAATGACACAGACACGTCACCTTAACGTTTGTGCAGCCCAGTGACTTATTAAGTGCTTGGAAATCTTCAGATGAAAAGCACCCAAGGGCAGGCACCAGACACACCATTCACAGTCATAAAAGCAAAATACCACCCAAAAAACTTGGGAAAGACAGAAGGCCCCATAACTTAGTGCAGCAGAGAATTAAAAGCAGGCACTTAGGAGGAGCAAATAAATCCTTACACTGTAATCCCTCAATACAGGAACAGCGAAAGAGATTAATTTTGAATGCCTCAGACTATCTAGACGGGCAGGGCAGGATGCCCAAGTCTTTAACTTGGGATGGGAGTTGGGGAGAGCATGCATCTCTTTCACCTCTCCTAAATAATACTTGAGCAACAACATGTATTGTTATCCTAATTAATTTAAACCAGTTAAAAGGCTTGGGCAAACAGGCCCCCATAAGTAGCTTGTTTGTGAGCTGTGACAGGTTCTGAATTATGCCAGGCTCCCTTTTCAACTTCATTTCCTCACCCCACTGCCCTGCTCACCACCACCCCAGGCAATGTATCCTCTTTCTAGACCCAGAGGCCACTCTAGGGTAGCTCAGTTCAAGTCTGTATTTACAGGCCCCGGCACTAAAATCCTCAAATTAGAAGAAAATGGTCATTGGTGCAGAACACATAGTTTTTTACAAGGTCACAGCTATTAGTTTCCCATCTCTTAAATGGTGGGTCACTTTGGGGTAGCGGCATGAGCATTGAACCTGGAGTCAGGCAATCCTGGTGGAGTTCTACCATTTCATAGCTTTTCTGAAACTTCAGACCGATTCCTTAACCGTTCTGAGCTTTAGTTTCCTAATCTGTAAAGTGTGAATAACAATAATACCTATCTCACAGTGTTGTTGTGAAAATTAAATAAGAAGGCGTACCTGCAAGCGTTCTGACAACTGTGAAGCGTTATACCGAAGGCGTTAAGCCGTAAACCCTCCCCACCCCCAAGAATGCACGTTGCAAACCAGCAACTACCACTAATGCAGCCGTCCTCCTCCTGAGGATTCATGGGATATGAAGTCCTTCGATGGACCTACCCTCGTTTACAGTCACAGAAGTGAGAACTACGCCTCCCAGGATGCTGTGGTGAGTCCGTCCCCAACGGCCGCCCTCTTCTCCGCCCCCCTTGTGCGCCGCCTCCTGGGATGTGTAGTCCTAGATCGGAACCCGCTCGGCCGCATAATGATGCGGAAGAACCACAAATCCCAGAAGCTCTCGCGCCCGCTCGTCTCCTTCCCCTCCCGAAGTCGGAGTGCTGTTTTTGTTGGTGGTGAAAGGTGAGGGGAACAGCTGATCCGTCTATAGGGTAAGAAACTTGGCCTAATTTAGGGGCGATCTTTTGAGGGAGGTCACCCCACTTCCAATCTGTGAAAGGACAGGAAACTATAGAATAGAGATGCGGGGACGTTTGGGTTTTAACACTTTACTGGAAAGGCCACCCCCACTGTTTTGAGAGTTCTTGGTTTCAGGGGGACCCTGAGCAGGGGTGCTTTCAGTCCTTCTCCATAAAGCTTGATACGCTTAGGAGAAATGGGGGGCTAAAGTCTTTGCTCATTCTCTCCCAGGCAACACTTGTTCCCCACAAACCTCCCTTCACACCTGCTCCCCTCCTCCTCCCCAAATCCAAAGGCCTTCACTACGCTGAATCCTTGGATGGGGAGGACCTTCCAAGCTGTAGAATGTCAAGGAACTCTAGAGCCCTACAGAATGGGAGGAAGGGACTCCCCCATATGAACATTTGAATCTGGCTTTACACATACAACTTGAGTGTGCAGAGTTTTCTTTTAGGTTTTGGGGATGTTTCCATCTGTTACGGATTTTATTTGTGGGGAGTATTAGGGGTTCCCCAGGCTTAGATCTTTGGGGACAACTTATTTCCCCTTGGAAAGCCGGAAAAATTGTATTTGAGGAAAACATGGACTAGTTTTAATTAGGGATTTTTCAGAAATGTAAATCCAAAGGAACCCCTTGTCTTTAATTCAGTTTCTAGTTTGGAGGGAGACATCACTCCTTTTTGTAGAGCTGGCCCACCTGTTTTCTGAGTTTCTGTTTAAGTCCATGGCTTCGGCCTGGTGTGGGTTGTGATGTTTGGGGGCGTGCACATGACTAGTGGCAATGGCTGATTGGACACTGTCAGCTGAGGCTGACACAGGATAAAGCTTCGTTAGCCACAGTGGAGGGACAAAGAAGAGGGCCATCTTACTGCGGTGGGCTGAGGAGTTCTCTTGATTGTTATTGTTGTCTGTCATCACCCCACCCCCATATTTTTTGATTAATTCTTCCCGGCTAACTTAGAACACCCCTTCCTCCCAATACCATCCTATAGCATATCTCCAACTACCAATCCAAGCAGATGGAAGAATTCAGGCTCTTAAAATTGATACCAAGGGGAACAGAAAGAAAATGGAGGGGAAGATACTAGAGCTGGGTTAACACCCAGTCAAACCCGTAGGTTTTTTATCCTGCTTCAGGCAGGATCTGGAGAGAAGAATGTTAAGTTCCTTTTGAACTATCTCTCCCTTCCCTCAACATTAAATATGTATCACCCCTTCTCAGGTCCCCTTACTTCCCACCTTCCAATCTGTCTCCTGCCTAGTGGGTGGGACTTTCCTGTTTCCTGGCTCCCACATTCCATCTCCCCCACGCCACCTCTCCTGCCGAGTGTTTAACTCCACCCTTGAAGCAACCGCCTCCAGAATTCTTGGCTTCCTGTAGTGATGAGGTTGAGTGATAGAACCTTTCCTTATATCCACTCAGTCCCTTCAACTCTTGGGTGAGAGCAGGGCTTTGCTTCCCTAGAATTCCTGGGGGTGGACAGCTCATATTGGGGGAGAACACTGAGAGCTCAGGAGCCTGAGGATTGTCCCCTCGGGCCATATTCCAGCTCTGAAGGCTAGATCGTTTCTTTCAGATGTTAGTGTTTTCAGGTTTCATAACTCATTCCTGTGTATAGCTAGGTCAACAACCTCAGGAGCTGGTCAAGAGACCTGCTCAGAATGAAGGGGCCCCGTATCTCAGTTGGTTTTGTGTTCAAGAGCCAAAATATGTGGGGGATGGATGGGGAGATGGAGGCTGAAGAATTCAGAATGCTCAAGGAGGGTAAGAGGTAGAAAAGGAGGGACTGAGGAGAATAGAGCCTGGGATAGTGAGACTTGGTCAATTGGGCAGTGAAAAGGGAGCAGAAATTAGAGACATCTGAACTCTGGGAAGGGTCTATGAACCAGAGAGGGTATAGTGTGAGACAGGGTTGGGACTGACTTGGAAGGCCAGACTTACATTCTAGAGACTAAGAGGAACCTTTAGGGGCTGGAAACCATATATGCCTTCATCTCCAGGTATAGTGGCAAGGGCTGGTATATGTGTGGGCGATAGGGATGTGGAGGGAAACAGATAGAATGGAAAGACTTTGGGATTGTCTTAGTTATCTAGTGCTGCCATAACAAAACATACCTCAACTGGGTGGTTTTAAAGAACAGACATTAGTTTTCTCATCGTTCTAGATGCTAAAAGCCCAAAGCAGGGTCTCAGCTATGTCAATTCCTTCTATGGACCTCTCTCCTAGTTTCCAGTGACTGCTGACAATCTTTGGCGTTCCTTTGCTTGTAGGGGATCATCACATGGCATCTGTCTCCCCCTGTGTGTGTGTCTCTGTGTCTATTTTGCTGTTTTCATAAGACACTATCCAGAAGTGGTTAGGTTTAGGACCTACCCAACTCTGGTTTGACCTTATTAACATAAGAGAAGAAAACCTCAATTTCCAAGAAAGGTCATATTTACAGGTATGGGGTTAGAACTTCAATATAACTTTTTAGTGGGGGGACACAATTCAATCTCTAACAGAGATGTTAACCCTTTCCTTCACAGGAAGGCAGATATCCCAAGGGCATGATGGAGGAATCATCACTAAGCCGGGCACCATCCCGGGGTGGAGTCAACTTTCTGAATGTAGCCCGGACCTACATCCCCAATACCAAGGTGGAATGTCACTACACTCTTCCCCCAGGCACCATGCCCAGTGCCAGCGACTGGATTGGCATCTTCAAGGTATCCCTGGAGCCACTTTTGGCTCGGGCTTACAACCATGGGTTGGTTGGAATAAGGGGAATGAGTGAGTTCTTGGATTTCTACCCCATGTTGACAGAGACAAAGAGAGACAGGTGTCACAGATAACAGGGGCCATCTGTATAAGCAAAGCTGATCTTCTCCCCACCCTAGCCCTGCTCTCCCCTGACACATTAGTGTGTCCCTCCACTTTCCCTGTCTCTCATCATCCTTGCCACTGTAACACCATCCTATTCCCTGTCCAATTCCTCAGCCTCTTCTACCATCCATGGGTAGTAGTCATCATATCTATCTCCCATCTTGGGCTCTTACAGGTAGAGGCTGCCTGTGTTCGGGATTACCACACATTTGTGTGGTCTTCAGTGCCTGAAAGTACAACTGATGGTTCACCTATCCATGCCAGCGTCCAGTTCCAAGGTACAAGGGAAGATGGAAAACCAAGAGGGTGGAGCCAGTGGGATGGAAGTTTAGAAGAAGGTAGTGGGCTCAGAAACATAAAAGTCAGGCTCAGAGGTTAAGGAAAAATAAGTGCAAATAAATATAATGAGAAGTATACCCAACAGGGTTCAGCAGGCATTTAATCATGGGGTTATCACAGAATCAGAGACTCAGTTAGAAGGAACTTTACAGGGCATCTAGTCCAGCCTTCTACCCAAAGAAGGAGGGACTTCTCTTATGGAACTAGGGAATACGGAAGAGGAAAAGTTATCATATATTGAGAAGAAGGTAGTCATTAGATTCTGAAAGACCTGGGTTCAAATCTCAGCTCTGATACATAAAACTGTTTGACCTTGGGCAAATTTCTTAACCTCTCTATGTGCCAGTTATCTTAACTGTAAAAGGGGATGCCTGGCCTGTAAAGACAATATGAGGTTTTAAAATTATACATGTAAAGCTGCTAGCACAGTGCCTGGTACATAGTAAGTACTCAATACATGAACTAGCATTATTATTATAATAGAGGGGGTCGGTTTAGGAAAGAGAGAAAGAAGAGAGATAGGCAGAAAGGAGGGAAAAAATTATCCTGGGGAACAGAAATAGCCTGTGGGAGGTGGAAAGGGGAGGAAACAGTATGTGGAAAACGAAGCAGGGGGCTACAGCTGAGGACAGTGGATGATGAGGTGCACTAAGGGGAAGGGAACCTGCTGAGCACTTATCAGGGTGTGGGATCATAGCTGGAGTCCTGGGTCTGTTCTTCTGCCCACAGCCAGCTACCTGCCCAGACCAGGAGCTCAGCTTTACCACTTCCGATATGTGAACCGCCAGGGCCGGGTGTGTGGGCAGAGTCCCCCTTTCCAGTTCCGGGAGCCAAGGCCCATGGATGAACTGGTCACCCTGGAGGAGGCTGACGGTGGCTCTGACATCCTGCTGGTTGTCCCCAAGGCAACTGTGCTACAGGTGAGAACAGAGTAACAGAGTTTCTCGTGTATAGGAGAGTGGGAGGACAGCTTTCCAGGGGATCCCTTCCTACTTCATCTTCCCTTTGTCTATAGCCTCAACTCAAGTCCTTACTGGGAATTATATAAAGACTTGCCTTCCGGTAAGTCTTAATCTAATGCAGACAGACACAAATATGTCAGCAAGAAAGCAAGCCACCCACAAGCCAGTGTAACTCAAGATTTCAAAATATCTTTTTGAGCCTGCCTTCTCCAAGTGCTACATCCTGCCCTAGGCCCTAGAGGAAGATCCAGAGGGTGGAGGAGGCTACTCTAGGGAACATTCGGAGAAAGAGGAGAATGAGACTCACTTTCAGACCAAGTAAGGAATGAGAACAGATAGGCAGGGCTCCAGATTTGCGCTGCCCAGTGCGGGAGCCCCTAGCCAGTTGTGGCTTTTGAGCACTTGAAATATGGCTAGTCCGAATTGAGATGTGCTGTATATGTAAAATATACACTGGATTTTGAAGGCTTAGTATTAAAAAAAAAATGTAAACTATCTCAATAATTTCTTATATTGATTACATGTTGAAATGATAATATTTTTGTGTACTGAGTTAGATAAAAGATTATTAATTTCACCTGTTTCTTAATATTTTTTTAAAGTGGCTGCTAGAAAATTTAAAATGATATACGTGCATTGTATTATATTTCTATTGGATCACAGAGAGAGAAATTAGGGAGTGGAGGCAGATGTTAGCAAGGAAGACTTCCTGAAGGAAAGCAAGGGCAGGGCCAGATGGGAAGGAAGTGCATACCCCAGACAAGAGGAAAGGCCTGAGGAAGGCTCAGAAGATGAAAATGAGTAGCTTCTCTGTGAATTAGACAAACCTCTGCTCTCTAGAACCCCAAGTCTGATAAACACATAGTATTGACACAAGAATGGAAAGATGTTTATATCAGAGATACGTGAGCTCCTACTCTGTATTCTGGAGTCCGTGGGTGGTACAAATGGTTAATGTGCCAAGAAGTGCCTTGGAAGAAAGGCCTGGAGATCTACTTCTGAAAAATCAGCCATTGAAAACCCTGTGGAGCATGGCTCTACTCTAACACACATGGGTTACTATGAGTCTGAATTGACTTAATGGCAACTGGTTTACTCCATAGTCTGTTTTCACATTCATTATTCTCATTTAAACCTTACAACAACCCAGGCTCGGAGATCACTTTACAGAGAAGGATGCAGACTCAGAGAAGTTATGTAACTTGTTCAAGGTCACATCAGCCAAACCCAAACCCATTGCTGTCGAGTCGATTCCGACTCATAGCGACCCTATAGGACAGAATAGAACTGCCTCATAGGGTTTCAAAGGAGTGCCAGGTGGATTTGAACTGCTGACCTTTTGGTTAGCAGCTGTAGCTCTTAACCACTGCACCACCAGGGCTCCCAAGGTCACATAGGTAGTAAAAATTGTATTGGAGATTTGAACCCAAGTCTATCCACCTCCAGAATAGACAGGGTAAAATTAGGGCAGCCATCCCTTTTGTCTGCGTGAATTGAGAAAGACTTCTGCCAGAAGAGGGATTCTTGCAATCACTGGGTGAGGAAGAGACCACGCCTAGAGTAGGAGAAGGTAAGAGAGGGATGAGCGGTTAAGTGTTCTGTGAGCTGGTCGGTCTGACTGGGAGGCGGGCAGGATTCAGAACACCAAGCCTCCCTTGCGCACTTCTTTATAGCCCATACTGATGTTAACTTCCCAACCCAGAAATGCATCTGGGCAGTGACGGGGACAGGGCCTAGGATGGGTGCTTCACTAGCACATCTCCCTTCTCATATTTCCCCCTCTAGAACCAGCTGGATGAGAGCCAGCAAGAACGGAATGACCTTATGCAGCTGAAACTGCAGCTGGAGGGGAAGGTGACAGAGCTGAGGAGCCAAGTACGGGAGCTGGAGACCACTCTGGCAAGTGCCAGACAGGAGCACACGGAGCTGATGGAGCAGTATAAGGTGGGCGTTGGGCCAGGCAGGGGGCAGAGCCTGGCTGCTCATCCTGTGTCCCAAACCTGGACCCAGTGAAGAGGGTAAAGGGGAGATGTCAGTGGGCTTTTAAGATTGTGTTGGCATCAAGGAAATAGTTTAAAGGAGTAACAAATGGAATTAAACTTGATATGACAGGAAACACTTCCCAAATTTGTAAAGAGGCTCAGTTCTTTGAAAATGGGAGTTCTGGGGGAAGGATGGAGATGTCCACATTCAGAAGTAAGGGAATGTTCCCTCACAGTTTCTTTTCAAGGGAGGTTATGGAGTAGGGGCATGGGAGCAGTCAAACTCTGGCATGCACCTTCTCAGCCTTTGTTGCACTCTTTGAGAGATGAGCTTCAACCTCCCTATTCTTCTGGGGGAACCTTAATTCCAGGGGCTTTCCCAGTCCCATGGAGAGCTCACAGAAGAGAGGGATATCCTGAGCCGGCAGCAGGGAGACCATATGGCACGGATCCTGGAACTAGAAGATGACATCCAGATCATCAGCGAGAAAGTGCTGATGAAGGAGGTGGAGTTGGACAGGTGAGGGGACATCTCCCACTTGTTTCTTATCATTTCCTGTGACTCCTGCACTCCAGCCTCCTATTTCAAGCAGGCAAACTTGGTCCCTGTCTCACGTGGTTTCTCTTTCTCTTCTCAGCCTCACTCTGGGTATTCCAGTTACTGGGGATATCTTTTCTGCCTAGCTCTCTTCCATCTTTCCCAGCCCTATTCTATATTCCTGACCTTCAGAAATAATAATAGTTACCATTTCTTGTGCAACCAAAGCTAAGCAGAAGCTAGGCGTAGAGGGGAGATTTGGAAGAAGAGAATGGATAAAAATAAGTCAATGGAAGATAATAGAGGATAGATTTCAGATTTTTCCACAGGGAAGAGTAAGATTAGACTCTGTTCTTACTATTAGGAAATATTAGAACTGGTGATTCAGGAATGTTATATAATCTCCCTCTGAAAAAAGGTTTTTAAAAATCATAGAATCTTAGCATTAGGAGGAATATAGCACCTACGGTATATAAGAGAAGATATAAGGAGGTGGCCTATTTAAACGTAGAATAGCTGTCATTTTTTATCTCTTGTATAAACCAAACTCTACTCTCCTACAACTTTCACTCATCCGTCCAGATTTAGACTTCTGCAGCCGTATAGAATAAATTTTTTTCTTCCACTAGTCACCTATTATTTCTACCAAACAGCACGAATATTGATCACCTCCCATCCATATCCTTCAAATTTTCACCGGGATAAACACCCCAGGTCTTTCTTTCATCGAATGACGTGATTAAGTTTCTTTCATTCTGTACTGGTAGATTTGATATTTTTTAAAACTCTTTGAAGGAAAGAAGAGTTCTGTCCAACGCCCAGAGCAATGAGTGAATTGATCCCCGAGGCTTCTCTAGGATATGTTACTCTTGCCCTAGGGAGGTACTAGGTGTCTAGATTCTAAGTCATAGAGTAGAAAAGCAGGGATCAGATTAAGTATCTGGAAAAGATTAGAGACTACCTAGGCCAGGGGCTGGCAAACTGTGGTCCACAGACCAAATGCAGTTTACCACTTGTTTATGTATGGCCCATGAACTAAGTATGATTTTTACATTTTTAAATGGTTGGAAAAAATTTAAAGAAAGATATTTTGAGACATCTGAAAATTAATGTAAAATTCAAATTTCAGTGTTCATAAATAAAGTTTTATTGGAACATCCCCATACTCATTTATGTATTATCTGACTGCTTTCACACAACAATGTCAGAGTTAAGTAGTTGCCACAGAGACTGCATGGCCCACAAAGCCAACAGTATTTTTTAGAGGATCCTTTACTAAGAAAATTTGCCAGCTTCTGATCTAGACCAAAAGTTTATAATCAATAGTGACTGCCGTTGTCCAGAAAAGACTGGATGCCTTACCTCTTCAGTGAAAATAACCAAGAAGCCATCAATAATAGGACATTCCTGAAAATGGTACATAAAAGGAAAAGTAAAACTTTTATTTTCAAATTGTGTTCTAGAACCAAGAATCTTGGTTCTTGGGGCTTAAAACTGAATCATCTTGGTTTGTGGATTTGAGCATCCTAGAGCTAAGTGGAGTTCTGGTCCTGGAGGAACACCAGCAGAAGCACTGAAGACAGAGCTTAAGACAGAAGTCCAAGTCCTTCCTTCCTGTCCTGAGTGACCAGTCAAGTTCTCTGACATCCTGCCCCCCACTCACAGGGTTAGAGACACAGTGAAGGCCTTGACTCGGGAACAAGAGAAGCTCTTTGGGCAACTGAAGGAAGTACAAGCAGGCAAGGAGCAAAGTGAGGTAACGGTCTCAACGTTGGTTTGCTTTCTCAATTGTTCATCCAGTGTTTATTGAATTCCTTCTGTGTGCTGGGCACCAAAGAGTATGAAAAATGTAAAGACAAGATTGTTGCACTCTACTAGGAAAGATAAGACATATACCCAAATCGAGATTTGTCAAAGTCAACTATATTAAGTGTCACGAGAAAAGTATAATAAAGTATTATGGAGTTCCAGAGGGGCAGATGAGAGCAAAGACATTAGAAAAGGCTTTTTTAAAGAGAATGTGAACTAGCCTAGTATTTTCAGCCCTTTCTAGCAGCAGAACTCTTTTCCACACCACCACCACTGAAGGCTTACATCTTATGTGGTGCCTCACTGAATAAATAAAAGCAACTTCTTGTTTTTATAAATTATATTTTGAATTTATTTCTACAAATTCAAAGGTAGAGCATTTACTTCTAAGGTCAGTGAAAGCAATTAGGTCATTCTGAAGGATACCAGAATTTGAAATTGGAGGTTATGGATGACTGTTCTGTCAACCTCAGCAGAATACAGCAAATAATTCTGTATTTTGTTTTGATTATACTATATTGAGAACACCCTGAGTCACCCACAAATAGATTCAAATGATAACAATTTTTAAACAGCTCACTTTATAATCTCAGTTTACGCTTCAATTCAATAGAAAATAGAAACTTCATTCTGAGGTTTGCACAAAAATGAATTAACCTGTAAGCACGTGGTGATGGATTGGTGTGTTAACTTGTGAGTTTGTGTTTTTTAACATAATTTTTAATAATTTAGAAGAAATTCAAATCAAATATTAGCTAAACCCCTAAATTACATCCTTAGGACCCTAAGCTTCTATCGAAGATAGTTTGCTCAGCAGTGAAGAAGAGGTAGAGTTTTTTTTTTTTTCTTTCTTTCTTTTTTAATTGTGCTTTAGGTGAAAGTTTATAGCTCAGGTTAATTTCTCATACAAAAATTTATATACATATTGTTTTGTGACATTAGTTGCAATCCCCACAATGTAACAGCACACTCTCCCTTTCCACCCTGTGTTTCCTGTGTCCATTCAACCAGTTCCTGTCCCTTCCTGCCTTCTCATGCTGCCTCTGGACAGGAGCCGCCCATTTGGTCTCACGTATCTGACTGAACTAAGAAACACACTCCTCACGTGTGTTACTTTTTGTTTTGTAGACCTGTCTAATCTTTGAAGAGTAGGCTTCGGGAATGGTTTCAGTTCTGGGTTAACAGAGCGTCCTGGGGCCATAGTTTTGGGGGCTCCTCCGGTCTCTGTCAGATCATTAAGTCTGATCTTTTTACATGAATTTGAGTTCTGCTCCGTACTTTTCTCCCACTCCATCTGAGACTCTCTGTTGTGTTCCCTGTCAGGGCGGTCATTGGTGGTAGCCAGCCACCACCTAGTTCTGGTCTCAGGCTGGTGGAGTCTCTGGTTTATGTGGTCCTTTAGTCACTTGGGCTAATATTTTCCTTGTGTCTTTGGTTTTCTTCATTATCCTTTGCTCCAAGTGGGATGGGACCAATTGATGCATCTTAGATGGCCACTTACAAGCTTTAAAGACCCCAGATGCCAGTCTCCAAAGTGTGATGCAGCACATTTTCTTTTTTTAATTGTGCTTTAAGTGAAAGTTTACAATTCAAGTTTGTTTCTCATACAAAAATTTATACACACATTGTCATGTGACCCTAGTTGCTCTCCCTTTACTGTGACAGCACGCTTCTCCTCTCCTCCTTTCCACCCCGGATTTCTCATGTCCATTCAGCCAGCTCTGACCCTCTCTGCCTTCTCATCTCGCCTTCAGACAGGAGCTGCCCATTTAGTCTCATGTATCTACTTGAGCTAAGAAGCACTCTCTTCACAATTATCATTTTATGTCCCATAGTCCAGTCTAATCTTTGAAGAGTTGGCCTTGGGAATGGTTTTAGTTTTGGGCTAACGGAGATTCCGGGGGCAGAACATTTTCTTAATAAACTTTGTTATGCCAGTTGACCTAGATGACCCCAGAAACTGTGGTCCCCAGGCCCCAGCCCCAGCTACTGTGTCCCTCAAAGTGTTTGGATGTGTCCAGGAAATGTCTTAGCTTTTGCTTTGGTCCAGTTGTGCTGACTTCCCCTGTATTGTGTGTTGTCCCTCCCTTCACCAAAGTTGATCCTTGTCTACTATCTAGTTAGCGAATTCCCCTCCCCATCTCCGCACCCTCGTAACCATTAAATAATGCTTTTTTCTGTGTTTAAATCTTTCCTTAAGTTATTGTAATAGTGGTCTCATCCAATCTTTGTCCTTTCGTGACTGACTAATTTCACTCAGCATAATGCCTTCCAGATTCATCCATGTTGTGAGATGGTTCATGGAATCGTCATTATTCTTTATTGTTGCACATATTCCATTGTTTATATGTACCATAATTTGTTTATCCATTTGTCTGTTGATGGACACCTAGGTTGTTTCCTTCTTTTTGCTATTGTGAACAATGCTGCAATGAACATGGGTGTGCATATGTCTATTCGTGTGACAACTCTTATTTCTCTAGGATATATTTCTAGGAGTGGGATTGCTGGATCGTATGATACTTCTATTTCTAGCCTTTTAAGGAAGCACCAAATCATTTTCCAAAGTGGTTGTACCATTTTACATTCCCACCAGCAGTGTGTAAGTGTTCCAGTCCCTCCGCAACCTCTCCAACGTTTATTATTTTGTGTTTTTTGGATTAATGCCAGCCTTGTTGGGGTGAGATGGCATCTCATCGTAGTTTAAATTTGCATCTCTAATGGCTAATGATTGTGAGCATTTCCTGATGTGTCTGTTAGCCATCTGAATGTCTTTTTTGGTGAAGTGTCTGTTCATATCCTTTGCCCATTTTTTAATTGGTTATTTGTATTTTTGTTGTTGAAGTGTTGCAGTAAGAAAAGGTAGAATCTGAGTAGATAGAGATGAGAGAGAGGAACAGAGAAACACGTCACAAAAGTTTAGAATCCAGAATGCTTGAGACTATTGTATGTGTGAGTCTTGGTTGCGCAGTGTAAGCCCTTGGCTGCTAACGGAAGGGTCGGAACCCACCAGTCACTCTGCAGGAGAAAGATGTAGCAATCTGCTTCTATAAAGATTACAGCCTTAGAAACCCTATAGGGCAGTTCTACTCTGTCCTATAGGATCACTATGACTGAGTCAGTATCGACTAGATGGCAACAAGTGTTGAATGTGTGGGTGAAGGATTTGAGATAAGGTCTAGGTCAGATTGTGGAGGCTGTTGAGTTTAGTCTTTATTTTGTAAGCAGTGAGAAGGCATTGATGATTTCAAGTGGAGGTAACATGTACTTAAAAAACTGTACTTAAAGAGTCAGAACTACGCTTAAAAAGATTTATCTGATTGCCTTGTGGGAGATGAACTAGTTACGAGATTATTCAGTAGTTCAAGCTAGAAGTTACAAGAGCCTGAACTAACCTGATTGTGTCGGTAGTAGAAAAGAGAGAATGACTGTGACCAAAATGAAGATGGAGAAGCAATAGACTTTTCTGTGGGCTGCTAAGGAGGGAACAGAGCCAAGCATGAAACCAAGACATCCAGCCTGAGTGACTTGGGAAGTAGTACCATGGACAGAAATAAGAGTGGGAAAGACTGGGATGGGGTGAAAGGTCTGCTGATTTCATGTAGGTATGCTGAGTTTGAGGGGCCTGTAGGACATCCACACTGAGTTTTGATTTAAGAGGGGGCATGGAAAAGTGGAAATGGGATATGGGGTACCTAGATTCACATAAGACTGTAGGCTGTGAAGCCAGATGCCTCATTTTGGGAGCTGGAAGCTGTATGTTCAGGATTGAGTCCTTTTGAGCCAAGAACCTAAGAAGGACTGGCAAGAGCTGAATGCTTGAGTTTGTGTTCACATCTGAGAAGTAGAACCTTGACCTCTCACATTACAATGGTCTGCCTCCCTACCCACCCCAAATGTGTATACCTCTTTCCTCATCTTCTCTCCACCTCCATCAGGCTGAGCTCCAAATAGCAGAACAGGAGAACCGTCGCTTGAATTTGGAGCTGCAGGAGGCCAAGGCCCGACAGGAGGAGCAGGGTGCTCAGGCCCAGAGACTGAAGGATAAGGTGGCCCAGATGAAGGACACCCTAAGCCAGGCCCAGCAGCGGGTGGTGAGTAGCGGCTCCTAGGTAACAGGAACCAGGTGCTCATTGTAGAAAAGCCTAGATGGCCAGAAGAAAGGGGAAAACACATCACTAAAGACTAAACAACACAATACAACCCTGAGTCCTCAATGTGGTTGGTGGAGGGGGTGGGGGATGGAGAATCTGATGGAGGAGGAAGCGTGCTTATCTTCCTAGTTTACCAGTGATTCACTGAGAGCTCTGATCTCCATCTCTCCCTTTCTTCTGAGGCTGAGTTGGAGCCCTTGAAGGAGCAGCTTCGAGGGGCCCAGGAGCTTGCAGCCTCAAGCCAGCAGAAAGCAGCCCTTCTCGGGGAGGAGCTGGCCAGCGCAGCAGGAGCCAGGGACCGCACCATGTCTGAGCTACACCGCAGCCGCCTGGAAGTGGCTGAAGTCAACGGCAGGCTGGCTGAGCTCAGTCTGCACTTGAAGGAAGAAAAAAGCCAGTGGAGCAAGGAGAGGGCAGGGCTGCTGCAGAGTATGGAGGTAGAGGCATGGGGGGACCTGGCCGTGGACCACAGCCACTGCCCCTATCTCTATGAGGACTGCTGTGTGTGGTCATATACTGTGGAAGGAGAGAAAGAGGTTACAAACCTCAGAGGACTTAGGGATGGTAGGAGCAATAAAGGAGATACATTCCACTTTCCAGGCATGACCCATCCCTAACCAAGGTATCCTAATCCTGATCTCCATAGCACCTTTCTTGACTGCCATCCTTGATTCCGAAACATTTAGCAGCCCTGCCAGAACGCCCATTCTTGATCCTTCATTCAGGGTATATAGCAAATGGAGAAGGCAAGAAGGGTAAATGGGTTCAAAAACAATTCAATTCAGTTCAATTAATTAAATAAAGGAAAGGACACAGAGAAGGATAGTGCTATTGCCAGTGGCATCACTTTTTCTTCACCTGCACCCTCCCATCTTCCTTGCTGGCCCTCTCCCAGGCAGAGAAGGACAAGATCCTGAAGCTGAGTGCAGAGATCCTTCGACTGGAGAAGGCCGTTCAGGAGGAGAGGACGCAAAATCAAGTGCTCAAAACTGAGCTGGCCCAGGAAAAGGATTCTAGCCTGGTGAGATACCCAGCCACCCACGAGTCCTAGCCCATGTCCTCCTGATGTATCAGTACCCCTTCTATCCATCTTGGGTGTGGGCTCGAAGAGTTAGATGCTCACTTATATGTTGGGTGGCATATACTTACACCCCCCCAAGCCCTCATTGGCTGAAACATGCCATGTCCTTTTATGCTCTCAGGGCACACATCCTGAGCTTAGTAGGGATGACTTAGAAGAACTATAGACTGCTACCCTGGTATGACCAAGGCCTCTGCACCCTAGCCAAGAAGGTGTCATCCAGGTCCACACTCTAGAGACAGAGGCTGGGACTCAGACAACTGAACCTCCTGTGGGCAAGACAAGGGACTCATGCAAGAAGAGTGTTGCAGCTTCCCGTGTGTGTGTCAGAGCAGGAGAGAAGCAAAGCCATGTAGAAACAGATAATCAGATTCCTGGTTCCAGGTTGTCGGGTCCAGGTCCTAGATCCCAGGTTCTTGGAGATACATTCTAGGCTCCAGATTCCGTCTGGCCTTTTCCCTCAGGTACAGTTGTCAGAGAGTAAGCGGGAGCTGACAGAGCTGCGGTCAGCCCTACGTGTGTTCCAGAAGGAAAAGGAGCAGTTGCAGGAGGAGAAGCAGGTGAGAATCTGTGACTCAGGCCCCCTGGATGCCAGAGTTTAGGACTTGAGAGCTAGAAACTTTGTCTTTTTGTCATCTCTTGGTTTAGAAGCTGGTATCTCTAGGAAGGCCCAGAGGCTAAAAATGGGACCATGGATCCTCTTGTTAGCTGACTTGGCAGGACAGGGGAGAAGTGACAGGGAAGGGAGGGACATAAGCGACGAAGGAGGGCTCCTGAGGGGCAGGGGATGTACCTTAAGTTGCCCTACTCTTTGCTGAAACATCTAACCCTGAAGAGCTAAGAGTTCATCGTGGATGTAGGGAAGAGTTCTGCTGGCCAGCAAGCTTGGCATCTCCCAGCCTCTAGCACTTGCCTCTTTCCTCCCCAACTCCAGGAACTGCTAGAGTACATGAGAAAACTGGAGGCCCGCCTGGAGAAGGTGGCAGATGAGAAGTGGAATGAAGATGCTGCCACAGAGGATGAGGAGGCCGCTGCAGGACTGAGTCTGTACACTCCAAATCTTGTGACACCTCTTCCCCACGCCCCTTCCGCCTTGCTGGGGAAAGCTCCATGTGATCCCTCTGGGAGATGCCTCTGCCTTCTATGTGTTTTGCCTTTTTTCTTCCCAGACCCTGGGCCTGTTTAAGTTAACTATATCCCTCTTCCAGAGGAGACAGAGCAGATCCAAGCTCTAACAGTGCATCCTTCTCTGCCTACTTCCCTCGCCTACAGGCTGCCCGGCAGTTCTGACAGACTCAGAGGACGAGTCCCCAGAAGACATGAGGCTCCCACCCTATGGCCTGTGTGAGCGTGGAGATCCAGGCTCCTCTCCAACTGGGCCCCGAGAATCTTCTCCCCTAGTTGTCATCAGCCAGCCAGCCCCCATTGCTCCCCACCTCTCAGGGCCAGCTGAGGACAGTAGCTCTGACTCGGTGAGCCGTGAGGGAGACCAAGCAGGAGCAGTAAGGAGGGGGTAGGGCCACACCCAGCTATTCCAGCCTCCAAACAAAAAATCTTAGCCCTGCAGGGCTCTATTTTTTTCTTAGAGGAGAGGAGGCAGGCATCTGCCCACCTCTCTTCAAGGCCACTCAACATGTGCCATCCCAAAACCCAGTCCAACCCAATAGCCCTCACTATTTCTAGTGCCTGCTCCCCCACATTCATTCTCTTCTTATCCACCAGCCCCCATCAAAACACCTCTCCTGGCTGCTCTTTTCTTACCTGTCCCAATTTGCTGCCCCCCTCCCCTCTTGGGACACCACCCCAAATCCCAACCCTGTATCTTTGGTGTCTAGGAGGCTGAAGATGAGAAGTCAGTCCTCATGGCAGCTGTGCAAAATGGGGGTGAGGAAGCCAACCTGCTGCTTCCTGAACTGGGCAGTGCTTTCTATGACATGGCCAGGTGAGTGCCAAGTGGGGAAGACAGGGAGGGAGGTGGGGGGATGCAAGTGAAAAAGGGCATCCGTGTAAACAGTCACACGCCCTTCCTCCAAGGCCCCCCTTCTTGGCCATAGCCAAGAAAGGAGATAGGAGGTGTGGTTGACACAGAAAATTAGCCACTACCCAAATTCCAGGTGCCTTCAGGTTATCCCTCCCCCCATATCACCAGTGCAGATGTGCACTCAGAGGCCCTGCCTGTAATTGGCTTCTGTGTTGTTCTAGCACCATCTTCCGTGGAGCCCAAATTGCCCTGCATCCCCTCTCTCTTGCCCCTTCCCCTTCCCCAGCTACCAGGTAGGTACCTAGGCTTAGGGGAGGAAGGGAGGTGACCAAGGTCCCCAGGGATAGGGGAAGAGAGAAGACTGGGATCCAGCATCCATCTGGCTGCTCCTGAGATGCTGTCCCTCTTCTCTGACTTCCCTGGGGACCCTTTGGGAGGTGAAGCTGCAGGAGTGGGGGACTCAGGTATCAGATTACTCCCTCCAGTTTTCTCTTTTCTTCCCTGGGTCAAGAAGGGAGGGAGGAGGAAGAGAGATTCTTTCATCTAGAGCCCATCTTTGCCTGGATATGAGATGGGCTCCAAGTAGGGAGGGGGTGATGCTAACATCCTTCTAGGCTGGAACAGGAAGATGAAGGACGATGTCAGACTCATTTTCAGCCTCATTAGGCGGCAGACAGAGATGGAGGGAGGAGAGCAGAAGGTTGGGGGATGGGCTCTGCACTACAGAGGCCAGCAGGGACTAAAGAGAGGACATGAGGAACAAGATACTGGAGGAGAGGCCAGGAAGGAGAATGACCAGTATGCTTCGTTAGGAACAGGATCATCTGGGAGCCCAGATACATGGGTCCCTCTTCCTGAGATCTGCAAGTCAAGAAGGGCAGGGAACACACTGACCCTCTCCTTTTCCCCTCCATCTCTCTCTAGAGGCTTTGCAGTGGGTTCCCTGTCAGAGGCCAGCACTGGGGGCCCTGTCATCCCCCCGTGGAAGGAATGTCCTATCTGTAAGGAGCGCTTCCCTGCTGAGAGTGACAAGGATGCCCTGGAGGACCACATGGATGGACACTTCTTTTTCAGCACCCAGGACCCCTTCACCTTTGAATGATCTCCCATCTCCCTAGTACATACACAAATGTACACGTACACACATACACACACACTCACGCACAGATGTACCCATAGGTCTCATGCCTATTTTCCATCACACTGGGCAACATCAGATTCCGTTCCCTAAGAACTGCCCTTGGTGTGCTCCTGTTTCATCCCAAGCTGTCTAACTTCATCCTCTCCTACCCGGCTTTTTTGTCCCAGACAGGGGTCCTTCTTGGAAGCAGTGGCTGAATTTACTCCTGAAAGCAGTTTTGGAGGAACCAGGATGAAGGAGGCCTTCGCCTGTGGAAATAGAATCATCCACTCCTAGCCCTGGCTGCCTCTGTCATTCTCACCAGCCACCAAACCACCAGGGCATCCACACTCATACATACACTCATACACACTCCCCTCTGATGCCCTGAAGCCAATTGCTGGGGCACCCCACCCTCTCTTATTTGGGGTTTGTGTTTGTTTACCTGAGTGTTCTCTTGAGGCCTGCGTAGAGGCAGCAGCATGGACGTGATGACCTCTTCAGTTCTCTTTCAGTTCTAAGCTTCATTGATTTCCCTTTCTGTGCCCCCCACCATTGCCTTTTGGTCTAACCCCAGCCTTATAGCATTAGATGTTAAGTTTGGAGGTTTCTTTTGTATTTTTGAGGTTTCCCGTACTTTATCTCCTGCCCCTCCCTGCCACTCCCCCCAGCATCCTCACATGGATAGAAGTAATGCATTTGTGCCTTTCTGTGAGGGATAGGGGAGCAAGTGGTCCCAGGGGTCGCATTTCCCAGCCCTTCCTCCCTCCCAGGTCACCCCACAGCAATAAGAGCTTCCCCTCTGATATCCCTGACTGCTACCTGTAGTATGGACAGATATATTTATATGATATGTATAACTATTCTAATAAAATGTGTTCTTATCACAAGTGTGACTAGAGCGAAGAGGACCCAGCCGTCTGCCTCTTAGATCCTGGTGGAGGGGTGGAGGAGGGAGGGGAATCATCTCTGCCTTCTGGAGGAGGATGCTGGGCGGTTATGTTTTCCAATTGCGCCTTCTGGTGTGTTGGCTACCAGTGTGAAGAGGAAGAGGGATGAAGACCTTTATCTTAGATGGGAGGTCTGGCTTGGGGAATTCTGCAGTGGGGTAGGGCGCAAAGTGATGGTTCTACATCTGCTTGGGGTTTAGTCCCAGGGGTGAGATGGGGTGGCACCCAGGGTACCAGGCCAAGGTGCAGCGTGTGTGCAGTGGAAGAGAGGGGGGAGGTTTCCACCTTGGGCCAAAGAGCAGACGTTACTCCTGTCAAAGGTGCACACCTTTGAGTATTAGTGAAAAATGCCCTAAGCCCCGTCTCTGAAGACTATATTCCTCTCATCCCTATTTCCCTCTCTCCTGTTGCCTTCCTCACACACCCATATGCACACACTGACTCCGCAGTCACAAAAACACATTCATCCACTCTAACCAGCTTCACAGGATAATCAGACACATACACAGCATCGTAAAGTATTTATTAAGGACCTGCGTGCTCACCAAGGCTCTCAGCAATCCCCCGCGTAAACACATGCCTACAGCCCCCTTGTTCTCTGTCCCGATAGTTCCCTTATCAGCCACCCTCCATTCCCTTCAGGGCCCCTGGTGGACCACCCCCACCATTCCCTCTCTCCATACACCTGAAACCCTCCTGTCCACCCCCCTTCCAGCCTTACCTGGATGACATCTTACATCCTTCCTTTTTTCACTCACGTTTCTGTCTCCTAGCAACCCCATCTCATTCCCTGAATCCCTTCCAAGGAAATTAAGAGATAATGGATCTCTCCTCTCTCCATCTCAGCCCCTCTTTATTGATCCTCCTTTAATGAAAGTTAATTATAACAATGATTTAATTAATAGAATCCCTCTCTTCCTTTATTGCTTCCCGTATTAAGACGGTTAATAAATATGAGCTGGGCTGACAGAGGCATCCATCACCCGCCTGGGATTCCCTCCATCCCTCCTTTTACCCTGCCTCTTCCCCCCTCCCTCTCTTGGCCTATAAACTTGCTGGGGTAGTGGGGGTTAATCAGAGAGGAATTATGAGCCAACATCCCCAGCAGGAGGTGCATTTAATGAAATCACTTCTGATTTATGTCTGGGGGAGGTTGGGGAGGCAAAAATCTGGAACCCAGGCATCCTGGCTTCCAGAAGGCTGGCCCCCTAGTGCAAAAGAGGCAAGTGGGAGACAAAAACAAGGACCTAGACCCCCTGTTCACCCCACAGCCCCCGCCAAACCACACACACCCCTACAGGAGCTACATGGGTAGCTGCACAAGGCCACTGACACAGAGGCTGCCGCTCTAAAGTGCTTATGGGGACTATAGTGTAGGTTTTGTTCTCTCCCTCCTCCAAAACTTGGCATGAGTCCCACCCGCCTCCTTCCTTTCTCTCTAACCCTGTCCTCCTTCACCTTCCCAAACCTGCTCCATACTCTGCTCTCCACAAAGACCCCCAGTCCCTCACCAGACACCTTAACCCTGATATCTAGAGTTCCCAGCTGCTCTTTTCTCTGCCCTTTTTATATTTTTTTGATGTGCGATCTGTGCTTTCAGACTGGGAGTTCCCCAAAAGTTTGGAGCCATTTCTCTTCCTTCCTCATGATTTACCTACCCCTGTAGCTAACCAAAAGGTTGACAGTTCGAATCCACCAGCCACTCCTTGGAAACCCTATGGGACAGTTCTTCTCCGTCCTATAGGGTCGCTATGAGTCAGAATAGACTCAACAGCTACGGGTTTGTTTTTTATTTATTTAGATAGGTATGGCCAAGGCATGGCCCCTCACACAGGAGCACAGGTAAAGGTAATTGACTGCATATATAGGGAGGTAAGACAGCTGGGTTCCAATTCTAGTCAGTCTCTTACTCATTATGTTGTATTTGGCAACTCAGCCTTTCTGCTTATTGTCCTTTCCCAGCATCCATGCAGGAACTGATGAACCTGAATGGAGTTGAGATCCTAGCGTGAAAAGAAGATCTAGACTGAGTATCAGCAAATAGGAACTAGTATAATTGTGTGTTAGTATTTGGTGATAGATGCATGAATCCAAACACATCACTCCTTGTTTACAGAGCCTCAAATGGCTGCCTGTTACCGACAGGAACATGAAGTGCAGATCGCTTAGGGTGACAGTCTGGGTCCTCACCGTCTGGTCCCAACTTGCCTTTCCATTTCCCACCCTACTCAATGGAACCTTGTATTCTAGTTTTATGGAATCACTCCTTAGAACTATACACTACTTTTACGTGCTTTCACCCCAGCTCAAAGGACACCTTCTCCTTGAAGCCCTTCTTGACTTCCTTCAGGCAAAGCCAATCATTCCCCTAAAATATCACAAGCAACACTTTGTAAAAGCACACTGCATCATGTTAACAAGTTTTTATTTCTTCTGTCTATACTATAAGCAACTTGAGGGCAGAGATTGGCACACAGGTCCAGTTTTCCAAAAATAATTTTAAAAATTATTTTAAAATTTCATACATACAAAAGAATATATATGTCATATATAAGGGAAAAAGAATAATAAAGTGAATACCATTGGAGTCACTATGAAGCTTTAAAAAAATCAGACATTACCAGTACCATTCAAGTGCCCTGTATAACCAAAAAAACTTTATGGAGTGTTTTTTATGGGTCAAGTTCTGGAAACAGATGGGATAGCCAAAAACTCTGCCTTCAAAAAGCTCATAGTCAACATAAACCAACAAATACAAGAAAGCATGACAAGTGCTATTTTTAGAGGTATGCATAGGGTGCTATGGGTCCACAGAGGAGGGATATATAGCCAAGACTGGGGGAGACAGAAAGCTTCCCAGAGGTGACATTATGAAAGCTAAGTCTTAAAGAATTAGTAGATGTAAGCCAAACATGTGTATGCAGGAGGAATAGAATGTGCAAAGACATAGCTTGCTCAGAGGTCTAAGCACTCAGGTTGGGCTGCCGAGTGAGGGTGGTACATGGTATGGAAAGTGAAGCTGGAAGGGTATACTGCTGACATTTACGCATGCATTCACTCAACAAATATTAATTGAAGGCCCACTTTGTGCCAGGCTGTATTCTAGGCACTGGGGGGAAAGAATGAATAAAACAGGAATGCCTGCCCTCATGGAGCTTACACTCTATTGCCAGATAATGAAAGTTCAGATGAAGCAGTTGGGTACATATTGTAATAACTCAGGCAAAAAATGGTGAGCACCAGAAGAAAAGAGGCAGAATTATTTAGGATGCAGAATTAATGGGTCTTGATTATGATTAGATAAGGAATGTGAACAAAAGGAATCAAGATGATCCCAGATTTCTGGTTTCAGTGACCAGGTGGCTGGTGATGCTATTCACCAAATAAATACAAATGGATACATATATTTATAGAAAGAGAAGATGTTTGGCACACTTTTGGCTTGTTGAATTCCCAGAATCTGGGATCTTCAGGAGAGGTCCAGTAAGTAGTTGGATAGAGATTTAAGTCGTGAGATCAAGAAATAGTTAAGATCTAGAAATTTAAGATCCATGAATATATAGATGATGAGAGTGAAGAAAGATCACCCAAATCTCCCTGCATGTAGAGTGAGAGGGTAAGAGGGCCAAGGGCTGAACCTAAAAGAGTATTAACATGTAACGGAAGTACAGAGAGTGCAGAGTCACAAAGAAGACTGAGAAAGATCAGTCAAGGAGGCAGGAAGCAAATCAGGAGAGATGAATCAAGGAAAGCCCAACAGTGTCAGGTGCAACAGAGAGGCCAAGGAAATGACTCCTGGAAACCAATGGATCAGCAGCCAGTCACTGGTGGCTAGGCAAGAGGAGCTTGAGAAGAGGGTTGGAGGTGAAAGTTATTCAGCAGCTGGGTTTCATAAGGCTTGCAATGGACACACAGTTCTTCTGATCTGTGGGAATTAGGAATATGTCTCCAGAATCACATAAAAATGAGGGCTTCTAAGTCAAGATGTAAGAAAAATCAAGGGCAGGAACCAAGATGTTTAAGACTCTAACATCAAAGAGCCTGCTACCTCTGATGAGCCAGGTATGAGGCACAGTCTAAATTAACTTAAAGCCCAAGCCTGTGCTATCGACTGTGGTAGTCACCATCCACATGTGACTACTGAGTACTTGAAATGTGACTAGTCCAAATTAAGAGAGGTCTGTAAGTGTAAAATACATATCAGATTTCAGGGGAAAAAAATGTAAAATACCTTATTAGTAATTTTTATATTGATTACATGTTCAAATTATAATATTTTGCATATAGTAGGTTAAAATGTATTATTAAAATTAGTTTCACATTGTTCTTTTTACTTTTTTAATGTGGTTAATAGAAAATTTAAAATTACATATGTGACTCTCAATGTATTTCTATTGCACAGCACTGGCCTAAGTCCTGCCACAGAATAGGAACCTCCAGAGCCTGGACATCCTTAGACTGCCCCCCATGTTCTTTAATCACCCCAGACTCCCAACATCTCTCCTGGAAGAGAGACAAAATGCCTAGAATTTCCAAGACTGCATTCTAAATGTCCCCCCATACTCTATACTCCCAACCCCATAACCTATGACCAGAGATTCCAGTCCTCAATATCTCATCTCCAGTTGACCCTATTCTGGTCCCTTACACTTTTTGTTTCTGCAGTTCTGTCAATACTCATGAGAGCAGGGATGTCCTATTCTAAATCTGACAAAAGCGAATTTTTTTCCTGAGTTAGAGTCCAGAATCTCTCTTCCAACTCTGAATGGAGAAGCCACACTTTTCTTCTTATTCCCCCTCACCCCAATTTCTCAACTCCCTCTTCCTTTTCTCCTTTCTGAAACTGTTGGAAATCTCCCAAACTGGTGGAAATGTGATGTCATGGAAATCACACAGGTTTTCAAACC